CTGGTGCATCTAGGTTAACGTACCTTTGAAATAAGCATAACCACCTTCGAGAGAGCACATAATCTTGTTGACTACCCTGAATCTAATCCCCAGTTGCTTTCTCCCATCTTCACAAAATCTTCCTTATAGTCCCTCCTTAATTTCTAGTGCATAAAAGAAACTGCAAATTTGCCATTCTCAGGATCATTTGAGATCAGTGTATGTCATTAGTTTGGCTCAAATAAAAATTTATAACAATTCTTTACAGGGTTGGATGTTCCTACATTGACATTCTGCAGTGGAGGAAACATGATTTTCCCTATAACCTTATGTGTTCTTGGCTGAGACATCCCTGTAATAAGGACAGATTAACAGGAGAAAAACAAACAAAAGTTTAATAACATGTATACCTCCTGTACACCTGGGAGAGCTCTGGGAACACCGAGTAACTTGCCAAAATGAGTGAAGTCACAATCTGCCGGAGACCAATTCCAGCATGTTCAGCAGGGCTGCATCTGGGAATGGCTGAGGGCATTTCCCCAAACCTGAATAGGATGCATTAAATTGATTTCTTGGCTGCCAGTCAGCTAAAAGGCATCTTAATCTACATGTTATTGCCTCCTACTGGCCAAACACCTGAACAGCCATAGGCTAATTCCCCCATTCTGACAATGGACTCTGTACTAAACCCTGACCCTTTGATGTGTATATCTCTGCCTTGCCTCAGGACAAATTGTGTTAATAAAAAGCATGGGGTCCTGGGGATGAGGCCTTAGACTTAAGACCTTAGAACTTCACTCCTTTAGCTAAGCTCCTCTGACCCCCATATGCCTTTCAAAACTATATTTCGTCTCCGGACTCTATTAGTTTCTGGACTCTTATTTAACATCTACGCACAGCCTTCTCCAGATTCCTGAACCCTCTTGATGCTGGGACAAGAACCCCTGCAACAATCTCCAGCTGAGACAAAAGAAGATGTTGGGGGAGTCAGCTATGGAGAGTACCAGAACAGCACAGGAAATAAGGGTAAGATTGTTAAATAAGGGTAAGGTTGCAGATTTCGTTATGGCCTTTTGCAATGAGTTTCTAGAGGTAGGGTCATTCCTCTCTTGCGGGTACAGGATGATTTACCTTGGAGATTTACTTACACATGCAAACATCTTTTACACAGGGCAACTTCCACTTGGTTTATAGAGCTTCTCTGATGTCTGCTGTTTCTTAAAGTCAACCAGCTGAAATAAACCTTATGCCAAGTAGGCATATTTTGGGGTGACAAATTCTGTTCCCCTACATCTCCTAGGCTAAAAACCTGTAGAGCATGTCACTGCACTGAATGCTGTAGGCAATTGTAATACAATGATAAATATTTGTGTGATGCATTACAAGGGCTAATATGGCTATGATGTCACTAGGTGATATCAAATTTTCAGCTGCACTATAATATTATGGGATCACTGGTATATAGGAAGTCCTTCATTGTTATGAGGCATAGGATTGTAGTTGCATTTACAGAAAATCCAGTAAAGAAATAAAATGGAGTCACTATCAGTCAGGTGTAAGAACTTGGAAATATTTTGGGAGACTCGAGAAGAGAGGAACTCACCCAAATCTATAGGTATTACAGGCAAAGTCTGATGGCAAGTCCTTGCCTTGGCTTTTCTGGTTTTGAGAGACCTTTTAAAGTTCAACCTCATGATTCTTTATGAAAAGACAACAACAAAAACAAAACAAAACAAAAACAGCTAAGCAGAGTTAAAAGAGCTATATAGTTAATTACTATTCTTGTGGCTCCAATGTAAACAACAGGCCAAGTTTATTGAAACAAGACTTGTTTTGTAAGCAAAGTATTCTTAATTTGGCTATCTTTGGTAAAAATGAGAGCGATTTTAGAGGAAGATTGTGTGTCAGTAATACCCCTTTGTGGATATTAGATTCCAGTACTGTTCATTGTCTTTTGAGGTTTTGTTCCTACCTGTGAGCTGGATTGGATCCTGAATTCTTCCAGTTTCCTCCAGCATCTGGCTCTGATTCTGCGAATGAATGCTTCTAACTTCTCTCCCATCCTTTGACTTGAAATCATTGAGAATTAAAACCGCCCTTTCCCAAAGCCATGCAAGCTACAGTGTGACAACCTGATAACAACTTCAGAGAAGTCGCCACAACAGCTCATATATGGACAATCTTTGTGCCGGTTGCAGAAAAATCACCAGTGACATTCAAACTGCAGACCAGGAGAACTATCAGACTCTCCCTGTCCGCCTTCACTCCATCTGAAGATGCTTTGAGCCAGACACCTAGAAGTCTACTGGCTGCCTTCAGCATTCAGAGACTGGGATTAAGTGTGCTTCAATTGTTAACCGTTGTTTTTCTTTTGTTTCCATAGAGATGCCTCTTATTAAACACCCGAATGCTTGTATCACAGACCATAGACCTAACTGCGGGAGCCATCTGCATCACCTCCTGAAATAAGAGACAACTGTTTACTGAAGTGACCTATACTCAAGACTGAGACTGCTTTCTGAAACTAGTGTGTAATAATAATGTCTTTATGGGTCCTTCTTAATGCTTTAACCTCAATATTGGCACACATATTGAGCTGACTACACACTCATTTATGAAAAGCATGTCTCTAGCCTATATCCCCCCTCCGAGGGACATAATGGACCCAAAGAAGGCATTGCCACCTTGGCATCGATGCACATTAAAATATTTTGTTTGATTTATGATGTTTTCTGAGAGACAAATCCTGGTCAAAAAGGAGGAAATAAGGAGTAGAGTGAAGAAATAAAATGGAGTCACTATAGTTAAGCTACTAAATTACTAAAATTAAGTAGGTTGAGGCATGAGGAAATGATTCCATTTTTGTTTTAACTAGTCTGGGATTTTAAACTTTTACATTTTCAGTCGTAGATACACACCTGGTGCCCATCTCCTAAGACCATCATTCAGACTGCCTAGATTTCAGTGATAACTTTTCTGAACCAATCTTAAGGCTAAGAATGCAGGACGGATTATTCTCAAGAATGTAGTTTTTACTATAAGAACCCTAACCTTTCTTCTTCAGAAGACTTCAGCTATGTTTCCAGTTTGAAAACCCTGAGACTCTTGTGAATTTTTATCATTCATTTCCAGCAAAGCCTCCGGACTCTTTTTTTGTATTTGTTCCACAACAGCGTGCATTTAAATGGTGCAAAACTATTTTGTGCTTATATGTAAAACAGAATTAAAGTTCTAATGTAATTAGAAGCACATTTTAAATGGTCCAAGTGTCCAGTCTGACATATGAGAGCCATGTGGGGCACAAGCCATCAGTGTGCTGCGAATTCCTGTGCGTGGGGGGACCTGCATCCCTGTCCACCCTCAACTAAACGCCAGTGCCCCGCCCCCTTCCTCCTATCATTGTGGTAACCAATTAAAGCAACTGCAAATTTCCAAAATGCCCTCTAGGGGGCAGTACCGGTGTGGGCTGCGGTGCTAGAAGAGCTTAACAGGAGACTTGCCTTGGTCTCTTCCTTTGTAAAAAACGAAGATAGTTGAGTGAGGGAGACAATGCAGGTAAAACACTTAGCAAGATGCGTGGCACGCATTATGTCCTCCAAGAATGTAAACTAATACTACCTGCCAGTGAATCAGCAGAGATTGTTTGGGGAACATTGTGTCCTTGGCGTCCAGGTAGATGTGGGTGAGTGCAGATGGGATCAGGCAGGCAGCACAATCACTGCCTCACACGTGAAACAGGCCATGAATAATTAAACACTCACCGTTCACAAAAAGGAGCTCAAGGGAAGAGCTGGAGTCAGAGAAATCTTTCTAGAGGAGATAAGAATTGAACCAGGGCATCTGGAACTTGAGAATATATATTTATCCCAGGAATAATAATTAACTCCTAGATTCTTACTTCTCAAAAGTGTGGCCTTCAGACCACAGTGTCAGCAGCGCCTGGAGGTTTGCTGGAACTCTCAGCCTCCAACCCAGATCTGCTGAGTTAGAATCTGCATTTTAACGAGAATCCTGGGTGTTCATCTGCACACTCACACCTGGATGTGCTGGACTAGGGAACCAATTGAAAACCAGAGGCAAGAACAAAGATACTTGCTCCTTTGAGAGAACACAGACAGACCTTGGTGTGTGTGTGTGTGTGTGTGTGTGTGTGTGTGTGTGTGACAGAGAGACAGATGTAAATGAAGATTTTCATCCAGATTTCAGATCTTCTTAATCAGAATCTCAAAGCAAGGAGGAGCCAGCATTTAAACAAACAAAGGCTTCCCAGATGACTTTAGAAAGGGGAGTGAGCTTAAAAAATACTGATGCCCTGGTCCCAGATCAGACCAATTCCATCACCAATGCTGTGGGGTCTCCAGGAGTGGGAGATCTGGTTCTTTTTGGTTCTTAAACTCCCCAGGTGATTCAAATGTTTGAGAGCCTCGAAAGAGGGAAACCTGGAGGGAAGAAGTCTGTGTGGGAGAGAGCAAGGAGGTGGTGTGTGTGTCTGCAAACACCTAAAGGTTTGTCTACCTTCAAGGACAGAACAAAGGTTGGGAGGTAGGTAGAATTTTTTATTTTTTTTTAATCCAAGTAATCATAAAAAAAAAATTTTCCTTCTTTCTTTCCTCCCTCCCACCTTCTTTTCCTAGAAGGGGCCTATGAAATGACCTAGTCCAACTCCTTCAGTTTGTAGCGACGAAATTAATGATCAAATAGGTAAAGTGAGTTGGCCAACATCAACTCAAATCTTCGAATTCCTACTCAGGGATCTCACATGAAATGAAATCCTCTTCCCGTTTCTAGTGACGTTCCCACCGGTGACACCGCAAAGGCATTTAAATCCTATTGCGATTTCAATCGCAGGCAAAAGAAAACTTATTCTACAAAAAAAAACAAAACAAAAACCCACCGAAAGCAAAACAAAAAAACAACAGAGTGCCTACCCCCCAAAGTAGGCAGGCTTTAAAGAAGGAATTGGCATTTTATAGCTCATTGAATTTAAAGACGAAATCTAAAACTTAAATGTCTATTTAAAAATGAAATCTAATTTGGATGTTGATACTATTGAATTTAAGATAAGTCTGACGAACGGCCTGTTCACCTCTGAACCTCTGGGGCTGACCGAGAGCGGGCTGGGCCCCGGCCTGGCGTGGACCCGGCCGCCCTTCGCTGCGGGGACCAGCCGCACGGCGCACGGGTCTGAGCTCCGCGCGGTCAGTGGTGGAGACGGCCGCCGCTCGGGACAGGCTTCGAATCCCGAAGGGCCGGCAAGACCTGAACACTCAGAGGGAACACAGCCAGCGGGGGGCTAGCGGGGGGCGCGGGGGGGGGGGGGGGGGGCTTGGAAAAAGGCCCAAGGAAAGTCCCCCGGGGGGGGGCCTGGGGACCCAAAAATTTCCTAGAGCCGAAGGGTCCAAGGCTGCTCGGGCCTCTTATGTGGTGCTGAAAAGAGGGACTGGGAGGGCGATCAAAAACCCTTCCGGGCATCCCCGGCCGAAAGCCCGGGAACCGGAGAAAACTTGGGTTTCCCCCGGGAAGGGGGGGGCGAGAAAGGGAGCCCCAGGGGGAGACTCTTCCCCCCCCCTTTAGAGCTTGGCGGTTCCCCCGGGAAAAAAAGCCAAAAATAGAGGGGGTTGCCCGCCTTTCGGCCCCGAGGGGGGTCGCCGTGTTTTCCCGAAAAGGAAAAAGAAAACCGGGCCGGGGGGTTCCCC